GCGCATAAACGCGAGCAGAGGCTTGGGTGAAGACTCCGGCACACATTATATGTGGTATATTACTTTGACCAAAACTCTAGCTGGCTTCTGTTCTGCCAGTGGACCTTGTGGATATTACAGGATGCTGACACAGACGTTTCCACAGTGGTTTCTTTTAAACGCCGTATATTGGAATTCAGCGGGGGGTGACTTCAAAAACAGTCTTTTCTTTGCTCGATATCTGTTACCTTTACCTGGTTGTACTGCTGATGCCTTCATCATCCATCTCTGGTGTGAGTTGATGATTTACACCACAGAGCTGATGAAAAGTGTGACACCCATTATTTAGTCAATATTAGTATGTCATGTAAAATTGTTGCATAGGAAAACGTTTATTACGCTCACCTGCTATTTTATTAGGCACACCTGTATAACTGTCCCAATCAGTTAATAAAAGGGCAGCAATTCAGTGGATTTACTCATTGCCAAGATCACTTGCTGGAGTTCAAATTGTCACATCAGAAATGGAGAAGAAGGGTGCTTTAAGTAACTTTTGAACTTTCTATGAGGCAAGTGTGAGTATTTTAGAAGACTGTTGATCTACTGAGGTTTTCCCGCACAACTATCTCTGGAGTTTACAGAGAATGGTCTGAAAAGGAGAAAATATCCAGTGAGCTGCAGCTTTCTGAGACAAAATGCTTTATTATCAGAGGTCAGAGGAGAATAGCAAGACTGCTTCAGGCTGATAGGAAGGAAACAGCAACTCAAATAACTGTTCAGTACAATTGAAGTATGCAGAAGAGCCTCTCTGAATGGACAACACGTCGAACCTTGAAGGTGATGGACTACAGCCATAGAAGACCACGCTGGGTAGCACTCCAGTTAGCTGAGAGCAGGAAACCGAAGCTACAATTAAGGCTCGCATGAAGAACAGGACAGTATTGGAAAACCTTCACCTGGTTTGATGAGTCTCAATTTCTTCTGCAACTTTCTGACTGTAGGATCAGAATTTGGGATATGAATACATCCTGCCTTGCATCAAAAGTTCAAACTGGTGGTGGTGTAATAGTGTGGGAGATTTTCTTGCAACCCTCTGAGCGCCTTAGTACCAGCCGAGCATCATTTAACCATCACCGCTTACCTGAGGTATTGGTGGTGACCGTGTTTATCCCACTAGGATCAGTGCACTGATCTTCTGATGGTTGCTTCCAGGAGGATAACACACCCATTCACAATGTTCAGATCACCTCAGTGTTTCATAACTTGGCAATGAGTTCACTGTACTGAATGACCTCCAATGAAGCACATTTGGAATGAAATGAGATTTGCCTCATGGATGTGCAAAAACTGTGTAATGCTTTCATGTCAAAAAGGACCAACCCCTGTATTTAACGTGTGCCTAATCAAGTGCTACCTAAGTCGAAGCACAACCTTTTTTTTCTCCCCCTTCTTCAATGGCACTACCGATCATGTATGACAAACCAACACAGGTAATGGACCCAAAGAAAGAGATGCACTCTTGTTACAGTTAGAGTCATGTTTATTTACAGCAGAATCCTGAATGAGGGGGGAGAGGAGCAAAGGGGGCGGGGAAGAGGGGTTAAAAGGAGACAAAGTGTTTTTAGATCAAGCGCTTCAGGATTCATGTTTCACTACACAGTTCTTAATTTATTTTATTCACCATTTTTCTATACAGAATCCATTCAGCCGTAATATCAACTCAACCGACAGAGCTCGTGTGCTCTGCTGGAGGGGAAGAGAGATGGAAAGAAAAAAAACAAAGAAAAAGAAAAAACCTAAAGCACTAAACTAAAAATACAGAGGGGCTAAAAAGAAAACAAATTTCAATAAAAAAACAAAACAAAAAACCCCCCAAGATCATTAGTTATGCATATATTCACATATACATACACACACACACGCGTATGTATATGTGTATATAAATCTATATATTTTCTGCCTTGTCCATGAGGGGGTGGGGGGGTTGTAGATCCATGATGTCAGTTATGACGACTGCAATGAGCAAACTGCCAGAAATCCCGAAGCAGACAGTACTCAGGTCAAAACTTTCAGTCAGAGCTGACCAATCAAAGTCCTTCTGACCTGCAGCCTTTGTACTACCCACTGACAGGAGTTCATAGGTCCAATGTCTCCGTGTTGGCCAGCAGAGCTCAGCACTGCAGTAGCCCTGTTTAATGCAGTCTGAGAAATGATACACTGTACACTTAACATGCACGGCCAGGTAGCATAAAAAAGTAAAAAAAAAAAAAAAAAAAAAAAAAAAAAAAGAATAAAAAGAAAACACAAAACACAACAAAAAACCACCCCAAACCCAAAAAGCCAGCAAAATGCATCCAGACATCTTCAATCACACACTTTCCAGTATACATTAGATATTAACTGACAAGCACCACAAAACAGTGGAAAGACCAGAAGAAAAAGAAAAAACAAAACAAAAAAAACATCAGTTAATGGTGACAGTAAAAACATCCTGTGGGTTAGCTTCAACCTCAATTATTTCACTGATTTCTGAATGGTGTGACTGATTCATGACTCAGCTCAATGGATTCAAACAGGTCCAAACACACATGCATACACATTCACCATCCATCCACAAAACCTTTAATCTGTAGCTACTTTAATCTCAGTAAGCCTTCATATCCAATGACCCTCCTCTGCAGCAGGCTTCGATTTCAAACTCTCACAATAGTCAGGTTTTCATCGACTGAGGTCAAACACTGACATTTACAGAGTTCAGATCAGATGTTTCGTTTGATTTGTTCTTTTTGTGGTTTGTTGTTGATTCTTCTTTTTTTCCTTTTTTTTTTTTTTTTGCCAAAACACAAAAAGACTTGTGTATTCTGGAAAGAAGTGTATTTTCAAGGTGATTTATAAAAGGTGCAAATTTGGGATGTGCAAAATCACTGAAACATGTAGTTTCAGGATAAAAGTAACGTAGCATACCTTCAAGTTACTTCAACATTCATTTATTTGAAACAAACAAAAAACAACACTTTTTACATTTCCACCTGTCTGAAGAAAAATGACCTCTGGTGAGTTCTGTGTAAAAGTTCATGCAAGTTTTGATTGAACATCCAGCTCAATGCAAACCTGACTATTGTCGCTGTTTCTAAACTTCAGTGTTCGTGATTTCAAATTAAAACCCATGTAAAACAACCATTCACTCATTTGTTCTGCTCTCTCTCTCTCTCTCTCTCT